GGGACATGTTTCAGATTCATGACAATGATGATACTGTTACTGTAGTCTTACTTCTTCCAGACTCCAGCATGTTAAAAATTGAACTAAGGAAAATGTGACGCAGTGGAAACACATGCCGGAGTGCGGGTCTGTGGAGCAACACCGAGTACACAAAACGTGTTTTACAGGTTCCTGATGTCAGTGCAGGATATAGATCAGTGACGTGTGTATACGAGTGCATATGCTTCATATGTATTGTATTGACCTTATATTGTATATACAACACGAACTTTGGTTTGACAGTATTTCTTAGCATGAGGCAAATGGTTCAGCTTCATGGCACGTTCTTGTCAGAATCCCACAAAACTGTCTACCGGTTACCGCCCAGTGAGTTTCGAGTTCAACATTTGCACAATGCATCTCATCTAAGGCACGTGGATATTCTCCATTTTCCCAGTGGCGCACAACTGACTTGGCACGTATCTGGGCAAGTTCCTTTAATTTACGAGCTTGCAGGCATGTTTCCAAGCCCTTTTTCAGGACTCTGAAAGGAGAGCAGAAACAAGAAGAATCATTGTGGCATGGCCAGCATAGCCAGCCGAGGAGCCTTTCAATTCAATCCAGTCAAAGCCAGGTTTTGGTTGTGTAGGGTTAGACATAGAGGTTACAATGGCTTTTGATGGAAGGGAGTTGAAGTTGACACTGGTGGTGATGTAGTGTTCCTCTTTTGCAACTGCTTGTGACTTTATGTCTTTATGCGGTTTGTCACATCTCTGGGAACACACGGCAAGGAGCTGTTGACTTCACAGGGCGGCTTCGACATTGCGAAGCTTTCACTGGAAGGCTTTGACTACACAAAGATCAACACCATTGCAGGCAACTAGGGAAAGGTTTTCACACATGACATATGGAGTCACTGAAGCACTGCATTGCACACTGAAGTCCGAACAGTGGGTAGGTGGGTGGTCAGCTGGATAAGACTGTGGGTTGCGGTTTTCAGGAATCTAGATGATTCACTAGACTAGACAAACACCTTGTTTCATTTGAGATGCTTCAAGACACCAGACCACACTAGACAGGACTGTCCAAATCCAATGCCCAATCACCAAACCACTGATGTAGAAACAGTGTGTCACAAACCTTGGCAAGATGTTGTGACTGATCAGTGCATATTTATACGCCGCATGAATTTGTCATTCTCCAGATCTTAGGTGATTCCTGGGCTGTGCCAGTGGCAGGCGCTGTTTTGCTCATGCTACTTATGGCCATCCTGCCTTTGGCAAAGGATGGCCAACCTTTCATTACAGACCTGGGGCTGAACCCAGCAACGTCATCAGGCACTGAATTTGGTACTCCCCGGTCCCCGCCATCTATCTCCAGCTTTGAAGAGAAGCCGTGTCAGTGACTTTGAGGGCATTTGTAGTGATGATGAGCCTGCTGGACAAGACAATTTTCGCAGGCATCGGCACTTATGGAAATGAAACGGAATCACCGTTTGAATTGTTGAGTGATTGACCGCCCTGCAGGAGGCAAGGGCGCCTTAGGCAGCAATGAAGGCAGATGGAAACTCCGGCTTGTGCGTGAAATGCTTTTACGAGGATCTTTCGCGGGTTTGAAAAACCAAGAGTTTGTGGAGCTTGTGCGCAAGAATCCCCAGCTGCGTGAAAAGATCTTTGGACGCCTGTTTACTTTTCCCGTGTTTTCCGTTTTCCCACCATATGAGTTTACCCCTGAACTCATTGGCCTCCTGAGATATGAAGAAAACACGATTTGCCAGATGCCATTGACATGCCCAGGTTCAAGTCCCTCCGGAATAAACATGTGGTGGCCATCGCGATGAACCCCAGATGCAAACCGAGACATGAAGTCATCAACGTCAATCTGCACACAGAACAGAAGAAATCTGCTTACTGTGACGTGTTCCAGGATCCTGGGTACAAGCATATTCTGCATACTTTCAGACAGCAGCATTGTTTGTTTGTTTTTAGTTTGCCTATGTTGAACATGGGCAGTTGTCTAACAGTCAGTTCGAAGCAAACATCAACAAACATTACGCATGTGTCACAGGAGGGGACCTGGATAAGTGTCACCAAGTACTGGGATAAGTATGCACCCGAAGACCTGAAGAAGAAAAGGAAAACACTGGCAGCCAAGAAGGCGAGGATCACTAAAGTTGCCTGGCTGTGCTGCTATTACTTGTTTGCGTTCACTATTTGTAGGGGATCTGATTCTGGTTCCATTCCTTTATGGGTTGTCCAAACTGCAAACCAATCTGCTGCGCATGTTTTGCTCAGGAAGTGGGCTTGAAGTTGGCTCCGGACTGCAGTGTTGAAATCAAAAACAGTGCTTCATGGACCATAGTCCATAGGCAAAGAATGCTTTAACAAGATCCCCTGAGCCACACACAAATGTTCCATGTTTCCTCCCTGATCCAGGACGAGACAGGCGAAGAAGGTGTTCTCATTGCGCCAGAAGGCGGGACCAAGAAAGTTCGCATGATACAGCCCCACCTCCCCTCTTGATTTGTTTGCAGTGAGTGAATTTTACTCAGATGTTTGAAGCCAATCTCATGGCCCGAAGGCCACTCACAACGAGAACCTCCAGAAAGCCATTGACGGCGTTCAGAGTGACCCAGAAGAGGAGGAAGTTGCCCAGAGTGAAAAAGCGGAGGAAGACTACTCAGCCTACACTTACTCCGCCATCTGGAATTGATGCTCAACCACACGGTGTTCCGCAACAGCCACAGCCAAAGGGCCAGGCGAAGCGCAAAGCCAGTGCACCTTCATCAGATTTGGCTGATCTTGTGAAAGCTGCTGAGAGTTCAACCAGTGCTTTCAAGTCTTGCTCACCTTTGCTGTGAGCTACGTGGAGCATATGTTGACCAGCCCAGAGGCCCAAAAGGTGGGCAAGGAGTTGTCTGATTCCGCTCAGGCGGTCACTGAGTGGATGGACATCATCACTCCCTTCCTAGACGCGGACTTGTTTGAGGGACATTCGCTCAATGGACCCCAAAGACATTGAAAAGTTTGCCAAGAAGATCCCAAGTGACTGCACGCATGCCATCTTGCTTGACATGAGCAAGAAACTGTGGGAGGACTTTGGACTTCTCTTCAACTGTCATATTCTTCTTAGCATTCAAATTCAATTTGCTCCCAAAAGATTGAACAACGCACTATGTGAATATGGAAGGGCTCAATGATATTGCACGCGCACAGGGATTGGCATTTCACAAACTTTCGATGAGTGGCTGCCAACTCCGTGTTGGTGGGTTGTTGCAGGCACAGGCTGTGACAGGGTTATCTTTGGACATTCCGAGCGCCGAGGGGGAAGAGAAGAAATCCAATTCACGTGGCATCTCCACCAAGCATTTGGTGGATCTGCAGCGCTTCATCGCATGCCGGAAGGTGATGCAACAAGAGCATTTGGTGAATTCCGAATTGGTTGAAGAACTCAAGGTTGTCGTGGCTCACAGCAAGATCATGTCAGCTCGCCTCAACCTCCTCTTCCGATCAAGCCAGCAATTCAGGCCCGCATCGCATCACTGACTGAATCACTAGCTGATCTATTCTAGCTTCTAGACCGAGTCTAGACTTGATATTTTATATAGTCTATATAGTGTGATAGTCAAAAAATGCAATGGAGAAACCCAACCCTTAGTTCTGATATTTCACCTTTTCTGTCCACGTCTGCCTTACGTGTGCTGGAGGCTTCCTCACAAGATGGAGCTCAGCAGCTGAAGAATGAGCTGCAGGAAACACTTGGCAGGATTCAAAGCTTTCTGCCTGATTGCAAGTGGAGCACATTCACCTTCACAGAGATGCTGGACAACATATGCCACGGAACCGTTGAGGTCAAGATCAATGAGACAGAGATGGCAGCCATGAAGGCAGCAGTCATCGAAGGCCACTACTGTACAACATCCTAGGACTTTCCTTTGTGCTGTACAGTAAGTGTCGGTAAGTCTGTAAGTAGCATCTTTTCGCAAATCAAGTCATCAAGTCATCAAGTCAGGTCAGCTATTCATGTGTGTTTCTTGAAAGTTGGTCCGCCATTGAGGGGCCGTGGCCAGCCGACTCTTCACAGCAGATGACACCACCAAGGGCAAAGCCATCCAAACCATACTCTCGCAGTCCTTTGCGGAGTACCACAGCCTTTGCCCTGAACAGGAGGACCCCCCCTTTGACGCAGTGTGCTCTCTCTTCGCAAACATGAGCACCCAGTTGACTTCGAAGGCCGTGATTGCATTGAACCCAGACTGGCTTGCTTCCGCGCAATCAGCCTGCAAGCGACTGCAGGATGCAATGGTCAAGTGTGGGAAGTCTTGGGCTTCAAGTGCTCGGCAATCCGGTGGTCCAGACGAGGTTTGTGAGGTGCTCAGCGGACGCAAGTTTGTGCCTGGTGAGTTGCAGCCCATATTGAACCAATCGACCCACCACTCTCAGACCTGGACAAAGAGCTGCCACATCTGATGCGCCCAGTGAAGAAGTGGATGTCAGTGTTGTCCCTGCAGATGGACGTGATTGAAGAGTTCTATGCTGCAGAGATTGTCAAGAACGTGAAGGATTTCCATGCGTCGGTTGTGAATGCCATTCAAAAGGTGATTGGCGTGAGCTTGGACCACTTCATGAAGGTGAAACCACTGTTGGAGAGGCTCAGGCTCGACTCCACATTAAATTCTTTTGGCAAGTGGTATTGCAGTATGTTACATGCTTTTGAGCATTTGGCATTTCCCCTGTACATTGGTTGGAATGGGAATATTGTTATTGTTACAGACTTGATTCAAGCAATTCAAGTTGGACACATCATCACATCACTTCGTTGATTCATTGGTTCAATAACACTCAGACTCAGATTCATTGATACGGCCCTTCACTTGTACATCCAGATTCAGGTTCATTCTTCCATTCAGAATTCATTGATTCATTCATTCATTAATGCATTCAACTCATTCCTTCATGTGGCATTTATGTATCCATTCAGATTTCATTTGCCCCTCATTTCACATTCATATTCATTCACAGGCCCGTGCTGAAAGCAGTGGAGACACGGGAGCTGGATGTCATCAACCCATTGTTGGCTGAGCAGGAAACGTTGGTGAAGCATGTTGAGAACATTCTCGACTGGCGCCGTGACAGCCAGATTGTCGAGGAGTTCTTGCGCACCTTGACCAACATCCAGAAATTTGATGGCTGGAGAGATGATCCCCTCCGAGGAAGTATCATCAAGACTATGAAGACCTTGGAGGACTGGACTGAGCAAAAGCTTGTGGCATCAGGTTCAGGCTGGTTAGGGCAATGTTGCATTGTCTTTTTAAATTAATAAAAAAACTAGAGACTAGACTGACTAATTCGAGTTTCAGAAACTATGAGTAATGATGATGTCAGTTATTGACAAAACTTGCCTAGTGCACGTGACAAGGACAGCCGTAAAGAGGCATCTCAGATTTGCAGTGCCTTGGCAGTTCTTGAGCTTGTGATGCACCTAGAGAATCATGAAGACAAGCTGGCCGCAGTTCGCAAGCTTTGCAAGATGCTGGCGAAGGAGCTTGCCATGACACGAGCAGATCTCCATCCCCAGCTTTCAGCAAAGCTCGAAGCATTTCAGAAGCAGGATGATCCGGAAGCGCCTGAGTGATTCAGTCAGCTCAAAGCAAATGGGATGTCCAAAATAACAAACAGTGTTTGTATTGAATTGCTTTGGCAAAGCCAAGCTCCTTTGTTTTCTGCAATTGAATTTGGATCAGATGTTTTTTGTTTGTTTTTCCGAAAGAATACCCAATACAAACGAAGACTAATACTAATACTACTAATATACTACTGAGACTGTAACTGTACTTTGTTTATTAGACTGATAATAGCCTGTGTACGGTACCCAAAGAATTGCAACTCAAAGACAAGTGACAAGGATTCCAGGATTCAGCTAAGGCAGGTTGAAGTGAGGGTTTTAGGATGCTTTAGGTTATAGGTTCACACACGGTGATTTGTTTATCACACTAGACCGACTAGACCCAAGATCCCATCACCCTTTGTGACTGCTTCCATTCAGGGTGGGCAATGTTTTTTGGTCCCAGTTGCAGACAACACCCAGCTCAGCCCAGGACAAAGAAGGCAGCCAAGAAAGCCAGGGCAGCTCCCAAGAGGAAGCCAAAACAGTAGAACCTGCATGTAGTGCCACTAAGGTGGGCAAATTTTGGTTTTTGGTGAGGGCAAAGTTTGCTTGCATTACAAGAGCGAACCATTTTGTCATGTGTCATCCCATGCTGCAATGGTCTGGTTGTGTGAAGTTCTTGAACCCCTGAGAAATAGTTTCGCCAGGGTTTACAAATAGCGTCCCCAGGATTCATATATAGCGTCAGGAGTAAGGGGGGGTCAGAACACACAAACAGGCCAAAGCACTACCTAAAACATGAACCTACAAAAAGGTCAGCGGAGGAGCTCACACAAGGAGACAGCGGGACAGAAACCAGTCAGAGCAACCTGACATTCCGCAGCACATGGAGGTGAGTACAACACGCGAGCAGCCCGTAGAGCATCCATCTGTGCCAATGAAGGTTGGTACTGGTGTCACGGACGCAGCGAGGGAAGTCTTTCAAGCTGACAACACACAACACACACAAACATGGACGCCGCGCCGGCTGCAGAGCATGAATCCGTTTCCAAGCCGCAGCATGAGCAGCCAACAGCAGCAAACACAAGGCAGCTCCCCACTTGGACAACGGCAACCCTTTGGTAAACACGTCGCCCTTTTGATGAGTCGTTTCAACATGCTCGACAGAAATGTCGGATGCATTGGTCACTGTTTCGGCAGTTGATGCTACATGCCCACGATGTGTCCTGCTCAAGTGCCTTAACTTACTTGAATAGCCCTTGGAGATGATCGAGATTACGGCCGAGTTGTCTTCAAATATCTTCAAGGTTATGCTTGGGATGAGGACTTGCCAAATGTGCAAGTCGGAAGCGCTTCAGAAAACAGCGCAGTTGAAAGAGAGACGAACTCGCTTTCAGTGGTTGATCTTGACACGACACTCTGCCTCGTACTCCCCAGCTTAGCATGGCGAAGCTTGAGGGACCGGTCAACGCGAGAACGAATCCTGAGGTGGAGCGCATGGTCTTTACATCTCCGGCGAACACCAGGGCCTGGGGTCCAGGCAAGAATGATCCACTTCATAGCCAATAGCCACGTCCACAGCAGCAGTTGCCAGGCACCCGCGACCGAACACTGGGAACCCCGGAAAAAACACCAACGGGCCCACGAAAAAAAGGACAGCGACACGCTCCCCTAGTCATAAAGGAATCAAGAAGTTTCGGGCCACGGTAGGATCCCACAAGGGGGCCAACACACACGAAATAGACACATGTGTCCCTTAATATATACCGATATAAAAATAACAATATATATATATACGCGCAACTGTGAATTCTGCCTAATAAGAAGTTCCACCTGACCTGTGATGCCTTCGAGATGACCAACCATCGGTTCGCCGATGGCTCAAGGAATGAGAGGACTCGTACGGTGCCGGCAGTGAAAGAGCGCGGCCGCGGAAGGGGAGGCCCCTTTGTTTAGGTTGAGGGTTCAAGGCCCTTGTAGGTTTAGGAGTTGTGTAGGGTAGGCCGCTGCCAGTATGCGCTCCTACGGGAGTCACATCCGCAGGTAGGATCAAGCCATGGAAGGCTCCAGTTCAGGAAGCGATGACAAGGGTTCTGGAATCTGGGGGTTGTTACCCTCTTTTGATCCAAGTACGGACAATGCTCGTGAGTACTTGGCAAAGGTGAAGTTCCTGGACGGTATCTGTCCCAAGAAGGATCGGGCAATGTTGGCCCCAAGGCTTGCGATGTTGTGCAAGGGTACCGCTTGGCATCAAGTGCGAGCCCTATCGCCAGATTTGTTGACAGATCCAACCAATGGGATCAAGCACTATCTAGCTGCCTTACAGAGTTGGGAAGAGGGTTCAGAGCTTCGTACGTTCAAGTTGATTGAACGAGCCATCTACAAGACCGTCCAGAAGAATGACGAATCCACCCAAAGCTATGTCAACAGGTTGAGCGTGGCTTTTGATGAAGTTGGACCTGACACGACCCTCAAGTCGGTCATTGCCTTCATCCTCCTGAAGCAGAGCAACCTGTCCCATGAAGACAAAAAGAAAGTGCTCACCATGACGAACGGGGTCCTGGAAAAGACAGCTGTGGAAGGTGCAATGCGTTCTCGATCCACCAATGTGCTGACAGGGTCAGGAACTATGGAAAAGAAGAAGATTGATCCGACGAACTTCACCGAGCCCGATGAGCCAGACTTTCCCAAAGAGGCCAATCAGGCCTACGCAGTGAATGTTGAAGATGGGAGGACCTGACGCAGGAGGTTCCAGACCTTCACACTGCCCTGGTATCCTATCATGAAGCCAGAGCCCGAATCACCGAAAGAAAGAGAAACCGAGGTTGTTGGCCACCAGGGCAAGAGAGCGCTGGAAAAGGGTACAAGTCTTCATTCAATGGCACCAACAAGGGCTTTCGCAAAGGTGGTTCCGAAGAACTTCTCCAACGTATAGCAAGGACACACTGCAAGAAATGTGGAGAGCTTGGTCATTGGAAAGCAGAATGCCCCAACAAGGCCAAAGACCAGGTGAATGTGACATTGAGGACTTCAACGAAGAGACCAGCCAAGTGGTGTTCGAGCCTTTGGACACCTCTCCCGAGACTCAGGTTCGTTTGGACAACACCCTAGGAAAGCATTCCAAGCCAGACGTGTCATCATGCCCTGAACATGCATTCGTTGTAATTATAGAGCCTATAGTTCAATCGATCCGTCAGGGGACCTAAAGATAAAAATGCAATAGTTTAGTTTGCAAACCGGTTGAAGCCTCAGCATTTTGCCAGGCAATGCATCGAGTATCCGAAGCCTTCGAAACCTTCGAGTTCAATCCAGATCTTTCCAAGCTGCACCAGTAAAGCCGGAGACGAAGCCTTTGATGCCAAAGGACTGGCCATTGTTGACACAGGTGCTAGCCGGAGCGTCATCGGAAGTGAAATTCTTCCGAAGATGATGCACATGCTGGATCCAACCACTCATGAACGAGTCCGAGAAAAAACAAGTCGCATCGGATTTCGTTTTGGCAATAATCAGATCGAATATAGTTTCAAGCAGATATTATGGATACCCATAAGGAATGCTTGGATATATAGTTTCGAATGCTTGCTTTTTGCAAATATTAGATCGCACCATTCCATTGAAGCAAGGTAAGACAGGACTGCTCATGATCAGCATGTTCGACTTGCGCAAGCCTCCTCAAGTGTCAGCCTTTGTCACATCAAGAGTCGACGCTCGCCTTGAACGAAAGTCATTTGAAAGCCATGCCCAATCGCAGGGAAGTGATGAAAATGATCAAGGAAACCGCAGAAGCAGTGATGCAACTGTTGAGGATCCTATTGACGCTCTTGATGAACCAGGTGCAGACTCAGGTGGAAGAGGATGGGGGTCAATGGGTTCCCAACGAACATGCATTGCAGCTCCAGACGCTGACGCAGGAAGTGAAAGTCATGCTGCAAGAGATCTCAAAGAACATGAAGACGCAGGGACCGCAGGGAACTACGTCTCCGTCTCATGCCCACCTGGGCTCAGAATGGTCAGAACTGTCCGAGCGAGAGATTCATCAATGGGAAGACGAGATGCTTCAAATGACCGAGCAGGCGAAGACCGCCCAACCATCAAGTCCACCCAGGATGATGCAAGTCCCGATGATCACCAGCATGCCCAAGACACCAAGTCGAGCAGCTCCCACTGGAGCAACTGGCGTCCGGTCCCGCATGCCCGAGACTCCTCCGAAAGCATTGAGCAGTCCCGCTGGAGTGTTGACAAGCGAAGAGACCACGCTGGAGACCTCATGGAGAATTTCTCGCTTGGGCGAAAGAAGCATCCCGGGAAGATGTACTACCAGGTCTACGAAGCCGACGACCAGTATGTGAGTTGGTGCCTGAGCCGAATCAATTCGTTGAATATGCCCATCCTCGATTTTGCAAAGTACGCTCAAGTGCGCCGCCAGATGGAGGCACAACTCCACGGAAGTTTGTGATCAATTTGGCCACACAAGTCACCAATTCCCATGAAGCAAAATGGTTGAGAGCCCTAAGAGATGACATAGACCAGAGTTTTCAGGAATCATTGACATTGATCGAACTTCACCGTTTTGGTGGTTCGCATGATTTCTTGGGCTTCCTTTTGTGACCACATGTATGATGTTCCAGGATTCTCCATGGTGAAATGTCTTCCACCTTCCAGCTGGATTTTGCAGACGAACGTGCACAGCTTCAAATGTTCTCTGGATTGCTCTTGTGCCTTTTGGATGTTTTGCGTCTGGCATTGAATCGGTTCCATGAACACCATGGGGCACATTCCGGAGCAACCCATACATGCTTGGGTCGCAAGCGAATGATCATGCGCAGCAACTCAATCTGGCCTTCAAATGTAGATAGGTCTCCATGTTCTTTGGTGAATCGAGTAGCTTTTCCTCTTGCTTTGGTTACCTCTTCGGCTAAACGACTATCAGGTTGGGCATACACTTCAAGCAAGTCAATCATTATCAATTTGGACTACGACATCCGCGGAGTAGTGAACCACTGAAGAAGAATACTCAATTGCAAACG